TACGGCTTACTGAACCTTTAAGATTCAGTTGCCCTTTCCCTGGATTGGAAGGAATACCTACAGACGGCGATTGTGTGCATCACAGAGCGGGGATCACAGTGTGTCCATGGAGGAGGGATGTGGGTGGGGCTGTGACCTCTCATCACAATGTACAGAGTGTTGTCTTTGGTCCTGGTTTGTAGTGGAGGTCTGTGAGCGGAGGAACAGCTATGAATGGGCTTTGTCTAGATGGGGGTCACAATAGATATTGTTCATCTCGGAGGGAAGACATACCTTGGAGAACTGACACCTGTTTGTCCTCCCATTTCTTCCTTGTAAAATCCAAATACTGAGCCTTGTGTCCTCCTATTACTGCACCATTCAGCTGGATCCCAGCATGCAGTGTACATGGCTCTGTATAACCTCCACGCGTCCTCCTGCACCTCTGACTGCACTGGACAGCAGGTAAGAACATCATCATCCTCATTTATATGACCTGCCCTCTCAGACGGGATATTGAAGGTTTGAACTGTTTCTGTGCCCATTATGAGGGGTTCCCACCATCCCTGTGCTGAGTTCCCGGGTCTGTACACCCGCTGTGCCCATTATGAGGGGTTCCCACCATCCCTGTGCTGAGTTCCCGGGTCTGTACACCCGCTGTGCCCATTATGAGGGGTTCCCACCATCCCTGTGCTGAGTTCCGGGTCTGTACACCCGCTGTGCCCATTATGAGGGGTTCCCACCATCCCTGTGCTGAGTTCCCGGGTCTGTACACCCGCTGTGCCCATTATGAGGGGTTCCCACCATCCCTGTGCTGAGTTCCCGGGTCTGTACACCCGCTGTGCCCATTATTAGGAGTTCCCTCCATCCCTGTGCTGAGTTCCCGGGTCTGTACACCCGCTGTGCCCATTATGAGGGGTTCCCACCATCCCTGTGCTGAGTTCCCGGGTCTGTACACCCGCTGTGCCCATTATGAGGGGTTCCCACCATCCCTGTGCTGAGTTCCCGGGTCTGTACACCTGCTGTGCCCATTATGAGAAGTTCCCACCATCCCTGCGCTGAGATCCCAGGTCTGTACCCCTGCTGTGCCCGTTATGAGGGGTTCCCACCATCCCTGTGCCAAGTTCCTTTGTCTGTACACCCACTGTGCCCGTTATGAGGGGTTCCCACTGTCCCTGTGCTCAGTGCCCGGGTCTGTACACCTGCTGTGCCCATTATGAGGAGTTCCCACCGTCCCTGTGCTGAATTCCCAGGTCTGTACACCTACTGGGACCATTATGAGGGTTTACACCATCCCTGTGCTGAGCTCCCAGGTCTGTACACCTGCTGTGCCCATTATTAGGGGTTCCCACCATCCCTGTGCTCAGTCCCCGGGTCTGTACATCTGCTGTGCCCATTATGAGGGGTTCCCACCATCCCTCTGCTGAGTTCCCGGGTCTGTCCACCCGCTGTGCCCATTATGAGGGGTTCTCACCATCCCTGCACTGGATTTCAAACCTCTCCTTTAATTACACAGGGACTCGTGGCCCCTGATCACATAAAGACACTGGATAATGTCACATCGGAATTCCAAATAGCGAGTGGGAGCACCCAAGTGTTTTATTCTATAGGGGAGCCCTGGAGTCTGAGTGTTTTATTCTATAGGGAAGCCCTGGAGTCTGAGTGTTTTATTCTATAGGGGAGCCCTGGAGTCTGCGTTTTGTATTCTATAGGGGAGCCCTGGAGTCTGCGTTTTGTATTCTATAGGGGAGCCCTGGAGTCTGAGTGTTTTATTCTATAGGGGAGCCCTGGAGTCTGAGTGTTTTATTCTATAGGGGAGCCCCGGGGTCTGCGTTTTGTATTCTATAGGGGTGCCCTGGAGTCTGAGTGTTTTATTCTATAGGGGAGCCCTGGAGTCTGAGTGTTTTATTCTATAGGGGAGCCCCGGGGTCTGCGTTTTGTATTCTATAGGGGTGCCCTGGAGTCTGAGTGTTTTATTCTATAGGGGAGCCCTGGAGTTTCAATATATATGATTTCTGTTCTCTTGCAGGTCATTATTGCTCTGGCAGAGAGGAATCGCTCACACATCCCGTATAGGAACTCCATGATGACGTCTGTACTACGGGACAGTCTGGGAGGCAACTGCATGACGACCATGATTGCCACACTGTCTATGGAAAAGAGGAACATCGATGTACGTAGACAGGTCCTCCTTTCACCACATAGGCGTATATAGAGTCAATGTGAAGCCTTATTTTCCAGTATAACACAGTTCGGCGTTGCGTCTGCAAACTTATTACATTCGTCCAGCGTGGCCCCTGAGAGGGATCAGTAAATAAATAAAAAAGTGAGCGCTTTCAACATCAGCAGGTATGCACTATAGGTAACCAAATAAAACCTCAGTCCTAACAGTAAGTAAAGTGCAGCGCTATAAATAGGTAGAACAAATAATAATAATGTCCATATAAATGAATATTCTTATGGTGACAGCCCGTGTGTAGAGTGCCCACTGTGGCGGCACTTCAGTGCTTCTGCTTTAAAAAGTGGGGTAAGAATACGCACTCACCAGATGCGTAAAAAATCTACGCATGTAAATCAATCATTCGAGGTCCCCTTTAAGGAAGCCAGGTTAAGAGATATCCTCCCTCTGGATGGGTGGTACGTCAGGCACTTCTGGGTGGTATATGGATCCAGTCAGCCAGAGGTCCCCTTTAAGGGATGAGTGGGTGTTGCAGCCTGTATACAGGAACTCCCTCCTCTGTGTAATATGGTGGATCTCCATTCAGGGATGGGCTCTGTCCCCATCCTGGCAAGATCTTGACTTCCACTGCCTCAGAATCTTCTCCCCTGGACCTCTTCTCTTGTCCTCACAGCATAAACAGCAAGAAACTTGCCAATTTCAAACTTGTCAGAAGAACAGGTAGCAGAGTCAGGTGAGTGAGGAGGACAAGAGAAGAGGTCCAGTGGAGAAGATTCTGATAAGTGCACCTTTTGGACAAAAATAATAAATGCACATTTTTTTGCAGTTAAACAAAATGCGCATTTATTATTTTTGTCCAAAGGAGCCTTGAAAGCATCTCACCAGTTACAGTTTATTTATTTCAGGTACTTATATATCGCCGTCAATTTACTCAGCGCTTTACATATATATTGTACATTCACATCAGTCCCCGCCCCCGAGGGGCGTACAATCTAAGGTCCCTAACTCACATTCATACATACACATACTAGGGACAAATTAGACAGGAGACAGTTCACCTCCCAGCATGTCTTTGGCGTGTGGGAGGAAACTGGAGTACATGGAGGAATCCTACACAGGCACAGGGAGAACATGCAAACTCCAGGCAGGTGGTGCCGTGGTTGGGAGTCGAACCAACTAACCTAGTACTGCCAGGGGGAAGTGTTAACCACTTACTGTAGCCACTGTGCTGCCCCTGTTACATAGTTAGTCTGGCTGAAAAAAGACAAAAGTCCATCCAGTTCAACCATTAAAAAAAAAAATTATAATCCTACATCCGCAGGTGATCCAGAGGAAGGCAAAAAACCCAGCAAAGCACGATCCAATTTGCTCCTGCTGGGAAAAAAAATCCTTCCTGACCCCCCGAGAGGCAATCGGATATTCCCTGGATCACCTTTCCCTATAAATGTTATATCCAGTTATATTCTGTGTATCCAAGAAAGAATCCAGGACTTTCCTACAGCAATCCACTGAGCTGGCCACAACCAACTCTGGAGGGAGTCTATTCCACATTCTCACAGCTCTCACTGTGAAGAAACCTTTCCGTGTTTGGAGGTTAAATTTCTTTTCCTCCAGATGTAAAGAGCGCCCCCTTGTCCACAAACTGACATTGTTTATAAACATAAATCAGATGGGAGATGGAGAGATACAAAGTAACATTGTTTATAAACATCGATCGGACGGGGGATAGAGAGATACAAAGTAACATTGTTTATAAACATCGATCGGACGGGGGATAGAGAGATACAAAGTAACATTGTTTATAAACATCGATCGGACGGGGGATAGAGAGATAAAAAGTAACATTGTTTTTAAACATCGATCAGACGGGAGATAGAAAGATACAAGGTAACATTGTTTATAAACATTGATCAGACGAGTGATAGAGAGATATAAGTAACATTATTTATAAACATCGATCAGTAACGGGAGACGGGAGATACAAAGTAACATTGTTTATAACCATCGATCAGACGGGAGATAGAGATACAAAGTAACATTGTTTATAAACATCGATCAGACGGGAGATGGAGAGATACAAAGTAACATTGTTTATAAACATCGATCAGACGGGAGATAGATACAAAGTAACATTGTTTATAAACATCGATCAGACGGGAGATAGAGAGATACAAAGTAACATTGTTTATAAAAACATTGATCAGACGGGAGATAGAGATACAAAGTAACATTGTTTATAAACATCGATCAGACAGGAGATAGAGAGATACAAAGTAACATTGTTTATAAACATCGATCAGACAGGAGATAGAGAGATACAAAGTAACATTGTTTATAAACATTGATCAGACAGGAGGGAGATACAAAGTAACATTGTTTATAAACATTGATCAGACGGGAGATACAAAGTAACATTGTACAAACATTCTCAAAACATTGGAATGTAAATCGAAAGTAGTTTAAAACTTGTTTTGCCTCCCCCCCCCCCTTCACTGCCATATTTGGCACCTTTTGGGGGGAGCGGATACTTGGTTTTGACAGGTACCCGCTCCCACTTCTGGCTCAGTTCGCTCCAGTGAAGCCAGAAGTTCGACCCCACCCCCTCTCCTCCCGCAGTCTCTTGGGAATCTTCACAGGTCCCAGAAGACTGCCAGACCAATCGGAATGCACAAAGCAGCTGGCGCATGTGCAGTGGGTACCCAAGCTGTCACTGCCTGGTGCCCACTGTTGAGATGCCAGCAACAGGCGGAGAAGAGGGAGAGAAGGGATGGTGCGAATGAGCATGTCACTGGACCCTGGGACAGGTAAATGTGTGTTTATTGAAAGTCAGTAGCTACAGCTTTTTTAGCTGCTGACTTTTAACCACTTCCTGTCCGGCCCATGTATATAAATGGCTGGAAGGGAGCAGTGCAGGGTCCGGTGGCCGTTAATAAACGACCTCCCCGCTCCCTGCTTGTGCGCCCTCCCTAGGAGCATGCAGCACCGCAATCGGGGGGCCCGCTGTGTCCTCCGGTGGAAGAGTAGTAAGCAAGATGTCACTTCTGAGAGGAGGAGAAATGATTGGTTATACAGCCTTTATGGGTGTAAAAGCAATCAGTGTAAAAAAAAAAAAAAAAAAAAAAAAAAAAACCTCACCCCCCACAAGTAGTACAGTGTCACCATGGTGACCCTGTACTGCTAGGGTGACAGTATGTAAAAAAAAAAAAACATAATATAAAAAAATAAAATAATGTAAAAATTTTTTTTGAAAAATTATAATTTTTGGTTATAAACTAATTTGTTTTGTTTTTTTACTAAAAAGATAACTGAATAAATTTTGGCTAAAATTTATAAATAAAGATTATTTATTTGCAAAATTTTTTAAGAAAAACACTTTTTTTTTCTTATTTTTTGGACTTTTTCACTTATATAGCAAAAAAAAAAAAAATCCCAATGGTGAATAAATACCATCAAAATAAAGTTTTATCTGATAAATGCTAAAAAACGCATATAGGTACAGTGTTGCATGACCGCGCAATTGTCATTCAAAGTGTGATAGCGCTGAAAGCTGAAAATTGGCCTGGACAGGAAGGGGGGAAAAGTGTCTGGACTGGAAGGGGGGGGAAAGTGTCCGGACTGGAAGGGGGGGAAAGTGTCCGGACTGGAAGGGGGGGGGAAAGTGTCCGGACTGGAAGGGGGGAAAGTGTCCGGACTGGAAGGGGGGGAAAGTGTCCGGACTGGAAGGGGGGGAAAGTGTCCGGACTGGAAGGGGGGGAAAGTGTCCGGACTGGAAGCGGGGGAAAGTGTCCGGACTGAAAGGGGGGGAAAGTGTCCGGACTGGAAGGGGGGGAAAGTGTCCGGACTGAAAGGGGGGGAAAGTGTCCGGACTGAAAGGGGGGGAAAGTGTCCGGACTGGAAGGGGGGGAAAATGTCCGGACTGGAAGGGGGTGAAAGTGTCCGGACTGGAAGGGGGGGGGGGGAAAGTGTCCGGACTGAAAGGGGGGGAAAGTGTCCGGACTGGAAGGGGGTGAAAGTGTCCGGACTGGAAGGGGGGGAAAGCGTCCGGATGGAAGGGGGGGGGGAAAGCGTCCGCACTGGAAGGGGGGGAAAGCGTCCGGACTGGAAGGGGGGGAAAGCGTCCGGACTGGAAGGGGGGGGGAAAGCGTCCGGACTGGAAGGGGGGGAAAGCGTCCGGACTGGAAGGGGGGGGGAAAGCGTCCGGACTGGAAGGGGGGGAAAGCGTCCGGACTGGAAGGGGGGGAAAGCGTCCGGACTGGAAGGGGGGGGGGTAAAGCGTCCGGAATGGAAGGGGGGGAAAGCGTCCGGACTGGAAGGGGGGGTGACAGCGTCCGGACTGGAAGGGGGGGAAAGCGTCCGGACTGGAAGGGGGGGAAAGTGTCCGGACTGGAAGGGGGGGGGAAAGTGTCCGGTCTGGAAGGGGGGGGAAAGTGTCCGGACTGGAAGGGGGTGAAAGTGTCCGGACTGGAAGGGGGGGAAAGTGTCCGGACTGGAAGGGGGGAAAGTGTCCGGACTGGAAGGGGGGTGAAAGTGTCCGCACTGGAAGTGCTTCATAAACTCCGCTTTAAGATATCATTTTATTTTGGAATTCATGGACTTTACCAAAGCTAGAAATTTGTACATTCGAGAAAACTTTTCCATCCCCCTTATTCAAATTTTCGATCGTCCGTTTGAGTCCACTAATGATTAGAGAAATGAACAAACGTTCTTACAGAATTAATAGAATAAAAATGTTTAACAAAATTCATTATCTCCTATTTATTATATATAGAAAGTGATGTAATATCATACATGTGTTTTTCTAGGAATCAATTTCTACATGTCGTTTTGCCCAGCGAGTGGCAATGATAAAGAATGAAGCTCTTCTGAATGAGGAAATCGACCCTCAACTGGTGAGTGCGCTCCTGTATTCAGGAGAGGAGTTATAGAGGAAGCGGCGGAGTCCTCCAGCAGTGCAGAGTATTTCAGGAGAGGAGTTATAGAGGAAGGAGAGGAGTCCTCCAGCAGCGCAGAGTATTTCAGGAGAGGAGAGTTATAGAGGAAGGAGAGGAGTCCTCCAGCAGTGCAGAGTATTTCAGGAGAGGAGTTATAGAGGAAGGAGCGGAGTCCTCCAGCAGCGCAGAGTATTTCAGGAGAGGAGAGTTATAGAGGAAGGAGCGGAGTCCTCCAGCAGTGCAGAGTATTTCAGGAGAGGAGTTATAGAGGAAGGAGCGGAGTCCTCCAGCAGTGCAGAGTATTTCAGGAGAGGAGTTATAGAGGAAGGAGCGGAGTCCTCCAGCAGTGCAGAGTATTTCAGGAGAGGAGTTATAGAGGAAGGAGAGGAGTCCTCCAGCAGTGCAGAGTATTTCAGGAGAGGAGAGTTATAGAGGAAGGAGCGGAGTCCTCCAGCAGTGCAGAGTATTTCAGGAGAGGAGTTATAGAGGAAGGAGCGGGAGTCCTCCAGCAGCGCAGAGTATTTCAGGAGAGGAGTTATAGAGGAAGGAGAGGAGTCCTCCAGCAGTGCAGAGTATTTCAGGAGAGGAGAGTTATAGAGGAAGGAGCGGAGTCCTCCAGCAGCGCAGAGTATTTCAGGAGAGGAGAGTTATAGAGGAAGGAGCAGAGTCCTCCAGCAGCGCAGAGTATTTCAGGAGAGGAGTTATAGAGGAAGGAGCGGAGTCCTCCAGCAGCGCAGAGTATTTCAGGAGAGGAGAGTAATAGAGGAAGGAGCGGAGTCCTCCAGCAGTGCAGAGTATTTCAGGAGAGGAGTTATAGAGGAAGGAGCGGAGTCCTCCAGCAGCGCAGAGTATTTCAGGAGAGGAGAGTTATAGAGGAAGGAGCAGAGTCCTCCAGCAGAGCAGAGTATTTCAGGAGAGGAGAGTAATAGAGGAAGGAGCGGAGTCTTCCAGCAGTGCAGAGTATTTCAGGAAAGGAGTTATAGAGGAAGGAGCGGAGTCCTCCCAGCAGTGCAGAGTATTTCAGGAGAGGAGAGTTATAGAGGAAGGAGCGGAGTCCTCCAGCAGTGCAGAGTATTTCAGGAGAGGAGAGTTATAGAGGAAGGAGCGGAGTCCTCCAGCAGAGCACAGTATTTCAGGAGAGGAGTTATAGAGGAAGGAGCGGAGTCCTCCAGCAGCGCAGAGTATTTCAGGAGAGGAGTTATAGAGGAAGGAGAGGAGTCCTCCAGCAGTGCAGAGTATTTCAGGAGAGGAGTTATAGAGGAAGGAGCGGAGTCCTCCAGCAGTGCAGAGTATTTCAGGAGAGGAGAGTTATAGAGGAAGGAGCGGAGTCCTCCAGCAGCGCAGAGTATTTCAGGAGAGGAGTTATAGAGGAAGGAGCGGAGTCCTCCAGCAGCGCAGAGTATTTCAGGAGAGGAGTTATAGAGGAAGGAGCGGAGTCCTCTAGCAATGCAGAGTATTTCAGGAGAGGAGAGTTATAGAGGAAGGAGCGGAGTCTTCCAGCAGTGCAGAGTATTTCAGGAGAGGAGTTATAGAGGAAGGAGCGGAGTCTTCCAGCAGTGCAGAGTATTTCAGGAGAGGAGTTATAGAGGAAGGAGCGGAGTCCTCCAGCAGCGCAGAGTATTTCAGGAGAGGAGAGTTATAGAGGAAGGAGCGGTGTCCTCCAGCAGTGCAGAGTATTTCAGGAGAGGAGAGTTATAGAGGAAGGAGCGGTGTCCTCCAGCAGTGCAGAGTATTTCAGGAGAGGAGAGTTAGAACATACTATGGTGTCCTTCAGTTGTGTTGATTGTTGGTACTATCATGTCCCCTTATTTGAGGATCCACTATACTCCCGGTTTTTCAGGTCATGTGATGAATGTCACTAGGTAGTGCCCTATGGGATGAATACATACGGTGAGATGGTGAGATGCCAAATTGTAGACCATATAGAGACACTGAGCACACAGTAACCACCATGCCTCCCCCTGACAATGGAGCTTGGGATTGGTGAATTATGTCCATCAACTTTGACCATAGGTGGTGACAGGTTCTCTTTTCTTTTTTATTGGTAATTTTTGAGAACAGGAAAGAGCCGTGTTGTGTGATTCTGATAGGTGGCCTGTAGTCATCTCTTAGGCAGGTGGGATATTGGTGGTTTACCATCATGATGGAACTTGTACCCCGAGACTCCACTTCCTGCACACTTGCATTCTTGAGCTTTGAAGCCAGCATGTTCTTTGCTGTGTATGTTATGGTGTATGATGTCCACAGATGATTGTTCGTCTGAAGAAGGAGATCCAGGCCTTGAAGGACGAGCTGGCCCTGGTCACTGGGGAGCCCCGGACAGATGACCTGACTCAGGAGGAGACACTAAGGTGAGCCTGACATCAACTCCTCCTCTGGATCTGCCCCCACCATTATATATTCATGGAAAACCAACTTCCATCAGAGGCTTTCTAATGTTGGGGCGGAGTCTTATGACATCACATCCTGAGTCAGATATATTTGTGAATTTAAATTTAAAGTGGTTGTAAACCTCAGACATAAAATATGAACAAACCACATCCCTGTATAGTGTGTATTCATCTCTGTCCAGAGTATTAACGTTCATTTCTGTCTGCTGCCTCCTTCCTCTATCTGTGTGCATCCTATCTGACACCAAGAGGTAGAAAAGTGACCGGGAAGAGAGCTCCAGCACACAGTCTGTGATTGACAGCCTCAGCTCTGTTGGGAGTTGTGGTTAGCTTTACACTGGGATGACTTGCAAGCCGCAGGATAGTCCCGCCCACTTAGAGCTCCATTTCTGTAAAAAAAAATGGGGCAATGGAAAGAGCAAAATTCTGAATATCATCCAGCCCTTTCCTACCCAGCCTGATTGTCACTGACCTGCCGCTTTCATTCATTGGATTTCAGTTCTTTCCATTTTGGAGGCTCGGTGTCATGAGGGGTGTTACCTAAAGTG